AAATTTAATTTCTCTCTATTCTCATTGTTTTCAATACAATTAAACAATTCTAGGAAGCTTTTACTATGAAGATTTTGTAGAGTTTTTATGTCTATTACATCATCAGGGTGAGTTCTGTGTTGTAGAATATTAGAATTTCATAAAGGTAACAGATATCAATGAAAAACAAGTAAGCTGACAATGGGAACCAATGTTGAAAGGCTACCAAGCCAAACATTTACTCTAACTTTGACAAATGCTGATGACAAGAGTAGCCAAGAAAAAAGCCTGTCCAATTCATTATACTAGGCATCAAGTCCAATTCATAGCTGTAGAATTCTTTGCAGTACAGGTACATGTACCATTACATATATATCACAAACTGTTGCAGCCAGCAGCAACCAACTATACCTGCCTGCCATATCCACAGTGGGTAGATCTTAAACTGTTCATTGGTATTATGCAGATCAAGCTTCACATACATGTATGCATGTCATGGCATTTGCTAGTCTTTTAAGATCAGACCTTCTAGCTGTTCAACATACTTTCAGCCTTAAATTTTTTCGAAATGTATTCTCCTTGATGTAGATTTCTGTTATCTTTTGCTATATTTTTATGTCATTATCACACTTATTTGTGGTATTATTGACAGCATTTCACACATAATAGCAATTGTACAGGATGGTAGTATATTAAATGGGCAAACCCAAGATGACAGTTTTGACATTGGAACTCTGTTGAACAACAGTTACTGTTTAGGTAGGACTGAAAATACACAAGGAAAAACTTCCTGCAACTTTATCAGACATGAGTTGTTTGTAACAGGATTTAGTAGTGGAGGAGCTTTACAAAATTGGTGACTGAGACATGATTTTGATCATGCTTCTGAAGAAATACTACTAAGGCCACACCAATTTAATTTGTTGGTTCTCGGATTTTTTCAGAAAAAATATGAAGCGACAGGGCGAAAAAAATAAAAACAGGTCTAGACATCCTATTATAGGCTTAAATGCTATGAAATGAGCCATGAAGTCAACACAAAAGGCTGGGTTAAAATTTAAACATTGAATTTTGAACTTTTAATCAAACCACTGCAATGATAGATGGGAAAACTGTAACAACTAGGAAGAAAAGGACTTTC